CGGGCCGTCATAAAATACTCCAGATTCTTATGATCGGTCCAAATTTCAAATTGGTGTCTAGCACCTTCTAAGTAGTGCCGCCAGTGCTCTAAGGCTCTAATGATGGCCAGCATCTCTTTGTCGTAAATTTGATAGTTGCGCTTTGTAGGCGACAAACTATGTGATAAATAGGCGCAAGGCCTCCAAAGATTGTCAGGGCATTTAATTGATAAAACAGCCCCAGTAGCAAAATCAGAAGAGTCGGTTTTCAGCCAGAACTCTTTGTCTAATTCTGGAAATGCTAATATGGGCGCCGTTGTAAACACCTGTTTAAGCTTATCAAAAGCTTCTTGTTCTTTGGCGCCCCAATGCCAAACAATGTCCTTTTTAGTGAGATCGTTCAACGGTCTTGTGATTTTTGCGAAGTTTTTGATAAACCTTTGGTAGAAATTGCCTAAGCCAAGGAAGGCCCTAACTCCTTTGACGCAAGTAGGTTCTGGCCAATCCAAGATAGCTTGAACTTTCTCAGGATCCATCCTGATTCTGTTCTGGCCTATGATCATACCGAGGAAATCTACTTCCTTTACTTTAAAATTACATTTTTCGGGTTTGACGAATAATTTCCGTTCCTGTAAGCGTCAAAGGACTTCCTGCACGATCCTGTCATGCTCAGCCTCATCGTTGTTCATCATGCTCTGGAAGGTTGCCGGTGAGTTGGTCAACCCAAAGAACATAACGAGGGGTTCAAAGGATCCTCGGTGGCACATGAACGCGGCTTTCCAAGCATCTGTTTCTTTGATTCGTACATTATTGTACCCCCATCTGAGATCCATCTTTGTCAAGATCTTGGCACCAGCCAATTTGTCTACTAGCTGACTGATCAAAGGCAGAGGATACGCATTTTTAACCGTGTGCTCATTCACGTAACTATAGTCCATAATCATACACTTTTTACCATCCTTTTTAGGAATGAAGAACACCGGGGACGTCATAGGGCTTTTGGAAGGTCTGATGTAACCCTTCCTAAGCTGTTTATCTATAAAACTTGATACCTCATCTCTTTCTGGAGCAGAGAGTGGTATCATGTGTCCTTTTCTCGGTTTGAAGGTGTCCTTCAAATCTATAGCATGGTCCCAAGGCTTAGCCTCTGGGAAGTGCTCTGATTTATGTTTTGAAAAGACTTTCCAGAAGTCATTGTACCCGGGAGGTACCAGCTGTAACAACCAAGAGTTATTTACTCCAGCGCACACAGGAACACACTATAAAGAAGACAATGGGGAGTGGTTACCCCTTTGGCTGCAGTGAGTTAGTTGTGCTAGACAACAGGAGGACTCGCTGAGTCCTTCCCCATGTATTGCTCTTGTATATATACTAAAATACATGAGGTACTGTACAGTTGTAAATAAAGTTCAAAGTCCGATGTCTAGCACGTGACCGGTCACATGATGAGTCTAGACACTGGTCAGGTGTTATGTCACATAACTGGTCAGGTGTTGTGTCACATAACTGGTCAGGTGTTGTGTCACATAACTGGTCATGTGACTATGAAAAGTCGAAAATGTAAAGTAAAGTAAATGGTCACATGATCAGTCATGTGACTTGGAAAATAAAAGTAGAAGTACAAAAGTGAAACGTAAGTAGGTGCTGGTATGTCAATTGTAACACTACCCCCATCCTATGGTTTGACTTCCAGGCAAACCCTAAGTGAAAAAGAAGGTAAAATAAACTATGTAAGAGAAAGACTATGAAAGTAAAAGACAAAAAAATTTTGTTTAAATTTGTATTTGTTCACTTAACCGTGAACTCATAAATACTCCTAATTCATGTCCATGCTTCGTTAACACTTTGTCATGTCCAACGACACTCATGTTAACTTGGCTTCCCTCGTTCCATTTGTTAATTACTCGTATACTACTATCCCCTTTCTAGAATTCATTGTCCCGATGAATCAAGTGTGTAACGATCGACGTAGGTGTAGAGCATAGAGTAAAGTTGTTACTGTAAAGGTGGGGTGTTTGTATACGCTCCCACTGCTTTTGGTGCACACTACCCAGAGTGTTGGTAGACACCCCTGGTGTTTTTCCTGCCATTTTCCATACAAAACGAAAAAATTTTGCACCCCTGGTGCCTGAGTTTCCAGCCATCTTCTGCAGTTGGTGACAAATGCCCTCATGCCTATCCTCATTTGGATTAGACCCTGTTGGCGCCAAATTGCCCCTGTCGCTACCTTGATTCTTTTGACTCCAAATAATATAAAACTTTGTGTTTGTTCACCCAGTTCACCTCTGGGAATGTCCTTGAGACAAGAAAATAGAAGAAGAAAATTAAGGATGCTTTGATAACCCAGGTCGCATCTGGGCACTTCCAGAAGCGACTTTTAAAATTTCGTACCTGGGGGTCCCTGCTTGCTCTGCAGCAGATCTACCACTTCCCAGCTGGACATCAGATCTCAATCTCTGACTGCCCACCACTATTGTAAATTAAAAATGTATGTAAAAGACTATAGTATTGAAACCATGGTCCAAACGGTTGTCAGGGGGTGGCCCGCTTGTTAAGCTGTCAGCCCTTCTCCAGACTGGCGGAGGCAAGTGCCCGGCCTGGTCAGAGGTATACAGAAATGAAAATATTATTACTACTACAAACACAGACATGGGTTCCACACCACATGCTGTGACTATCTAATCAAAGATATCCCCTTGACGCTGGGGGCCGCGTATAGATAATTGTCCATTCTCCCTGAGCACTACAGGGCCGTCGCTAGGAGCGCACCCATCTGCCATACGGGATATACCGAAACAAGAATCGAGTAACAAGATGGCCATGCCCAGGGTCCGAATAACGCCTGTCATTCCACACCAACACAGAGGATCATTCACTCTGGTTGCCCTCTCTTCACCCTGAGAATCAGGTGCCCAGTTTAGTGGGACTTCACAAAAACTATCAACCCCTTAACCCTGGGGACCGGGTTTGCACACAGTGCAAGAGAGTAGAGAGAGCGAGTCCTAATGTAACAACCAAGAGTTAGTTACTCTGGCGCACACAAGAACACACTATAAAGAAGATGTTGAGGGAGTGGTTACCCCTTAAGCTGCAGAGAGTTTGTTGGTATACAACAGGAGGACTCGCTAAGGAGTCTCCTGGATTTATTGGGGTATATATACTAATACAGAGTGTTTGTACTTATGTACTGTACAGTTGATAAAGTCAGTGGCTGATGATGTCATGGGGCCTAGTCTGCATGACCAGCTCCACTGTGTGAGAGAGTTGTATCTAAAATTAGAAGAAGGCAACGCGGCGCGAGAAAGAGGAGTTTGAACAAAAGGGGAAGTGCCGCGTGGCACCCTGTGTGAAAGCTAAAGTGTACAAGGTTAAAGCGGAGAATGAAAAAGAAGGAAAGGTCCGAAAATTGTGTTATCGTAACACCGAGGCAATGTTGGACGTTTGATGGAGTGAGACAAGTTTATCAAATAACTCCTTGGAGCTGGTGAGGTCTCCAGTCCTCATTAGGAGGGCATCAGAGATGTGGTCCTGGATGATTCCATGTGCCTTCTCATCCTTAAGTATCCAGGTGATCTCAGGATCCTCCAAGGAGGTAGGTTTTCCTGGTGAGGGCTTAAGCTCCTCTCCAGTAACAACTTTTTCCCGACGTAGCTTTGAGATGATCCGGAGTTTCCATATCTGAAAATTGTTGGGTCCAGTGAGAACTGGACATGCAGATGTATTGTGTGCTGTGGTCATGGTTCCAAGGTTGCCATTTCAAATAAAAATTATTTCCTGCGTAGCTTTTGCGCACCAGGGCTCATAACCTAATAAACCTATGTGAAACTCAGTCACTGCCCAAGAGGCTATAGAAACGACTATATTATTTACCTATGTGAAACTACAATAGATGTTAGTTTAAGGTGATCTCTAATAAATGTAATGTAAAATACCTCAGCCGCGGCCCAAGAGGCTATAGAAACGACTGAGGTATTCCTATACTAAACCCCCTACTACTTATAGTCGGAGGTGCTACTTGCTACAGTATAATGACTCCTAGGAGAACAATGGTTACTCCATGGAGTGGTGGCTATGCTCCATGGAGAACAATGGCTGCTTCAGCAGAGACCGGGTTTATCCGGTTTTGTCACTCCTTGCTTGTTGCTGTATATGCCAGAGTATAAAATTTTTAATTGTTACAATGGTTAAGTAGTTTGGTGGTGGATAATGGCTAATATATTCAAGGTCAGCCATGTAATTACTGATGATATTGGTAGGTGCAAGAAGGTGAGGCTCATAAAGGCATAACAAAATTTGCCAACTTCAAGAACATTGTTGGGTATGAGGCATTTTTGAAAATTCTCAAATCTATTAAACCTCTCTCAAAGACAGGATACTGGCATGAGAAATTATTGATTATATTCAGCAACATTGTTTCCCTATGTGTTGATTTTATCAGTTGATTACAAGGAACAGTCAGTTATATGACAATTATTTAATATACATTTAATATATTTTTTGCATTTAATATATATTTATACAATCACAGATGTGCAATTGCCTCAACACAAGGGGGAAAGTCCAAATTTCCATGCACAGTTTGTCTGGTTCTGAAAACAAAACTATTTGGCCACAGTCAAAAGTATGATATTTGGACCAGTGTCACATCTGAGACTATAGTAAAAAATGCAAATTTGCAGCCAACAGAAGCAGAAAAAGAAGAGGTTTTGAAAAGCCAAGGGCTTTGACCTGTAAATGTGACTTTTTAACTGGTCAGACTGATACTCTTTTACTCAGAATTTGGAAGGATGTATTCTGGAAGCTTTGATACTCTGATACTGCTGCTGATACTCATAAGGAAGAGGATAAGGGGGAAGATGCCCCACCACCACCCTCCCAGAAGCATAGGCGTAGGAGGGAGGTAGTGGATAACCAGAATGAGTAATATGCATTCATCTTTTGCTATGACTAGGAAGTGCAAACCTACACTAGCTCTTTTCCTTCCTTCTTTAGCATAGCTAGTTATAGAAGCCCATACTCAAATGTGTCTTCATATTGCAACAAATGAAGGATTCCCTGCTTCTAATATACGCTCTGATATCTCATGGCAAATAGTCACCAAAAGCTCCAAGATTAGCAACAGCCTTGAATCCAAATTAAGGGAAGTTGAAGAAAATGAAGTGTTGAAAATCTTCATGATGGATTATGTGAGTGTATTCTTTCATTGCTGTGATTTAGTTTTAACTCTTGCTTGAATTTTTAGGTATGGTCTGCTAGGCCCCAAATACGAGAAGGGGTTGTAGCCAAGGCCAGACTCATGATTAATGGTGCATATGATATCCCAGGGGATATGTCTCCTGAAAAATTCAAACTTGCTGTTCAGTGGTTGATTGATACATATGTGTTTACTAAATATCAGGGAAGAACCTACCTATAACAAGCAAAGACCATTCTCAAACCCTATTTTTAAGGACCTCATAAGGAATCAATAGTTTGGAAGAAAAGGTGAAGGAATTAGGTATGTACATATTTTAAAAGGTATTTCTTTGCCTCTACTTATACTGGTTGCCTCTACGGTACGATTTCTTTTTCCTACTCTTGAATATTTACTTACTTATCCACTAGGTTGAGTGTGCTCTTAAAGCCTATAATAGTGGTGGTAAGAGTGTACAAGATTTTTCAGAGAATATGTTTAATGCTAGGTGAGTTCTAATCACATTTATAACAGTTCTGTCTAATCTTATTAGTAGATGGGGATTCTACTTTGAAAAGCTTTCTACACTCCAGAAGTGTTGCCCTGGTTGGATGACTCAAATGAGGAATAATCTTTACAAAAGCATTTTGTAAGTAGTATATATTTACTGCCTATCCCTTAGCTAATATGAAATATATATAGACAATCAGCCAATCTACAATATCTTAATCAAAAACCTCAAAGCAAAGACTATGGGATTGACTTTGATGTTTTAGAGGAAACTATGGTAGTATAAGTACTCTGTTAGTAGTAAAGTCTATTCATAGTCTAGATTCTTTGATTTTTTGAATGATATTACACATTTCTTGCATTACCCTTGAAGATATAATGGCAATAAATGTCCAAATAATTGATCCAAGATATAGGTATATTAAACAAGGTGAAAGCTATAAGACTTGTATTACAGCTATTTTATCTATAAAGACTATATAACCTAGGCAAAAGCTATAATTAGTTGGCTTGACTCTAAAAGTAAAAAAAAATCCACAACATCTATAAAAGGCTATAAGCATCAGGAAAAACACTTTGGCTATATAGACTCTAATAGTACTATAGTTGCAAATATAGTTGTCATAGTGATCATAGCTGCAATAGAAACCCCAACATCTATTTAGGAACAATGTGCTCTTATAGCACTTATAGCATATGGCTGGCTATATGAGCTATAAGAGAGCTTGTGGCTGATTTAAAAAAAATAATCACACACACAAGACTTGAACTTTCAACCTGTTGGTCCGCTTTTTTGCTGACCAATCAATCTACAGCCACATATCACACATTTATCCACTACACCATAAAAGCTTATAAAATATACTATTCATATATAATATATTGACCTTTCATGGACTTGTCATTTTTTTTACACATTGTTACAACTTATACTATGTATTATGGTCTTAACAGCTATATAGGCTATTAGAGCTATAAGAGCCATTATAATGCCTTGGCTAGCTATATAACATTATACTATGTACTATGGTCTTAACAGCTATATAGGCTATTAGAGCTATAAGAGCCATTATAATGCCTTGGCTAGCTATATAACATTATACATGTGTGCTCAAACTTATAGTACTATAAGAGCTATAATAGCATTTATAGTAATGCCTCTGCTATATAGCACTATCAGAGCTATAATAGCACAAATAGTATTACCTTTGCTATATAGTACTATTAGAGCTATAATAGTATAAATAGTATTGCTTCTGCTATAGTACTATAAGAGCTATAGTAGCATCTATAGTAATGCCTCTGCTATATAGCCAAAGTGTTTTTCCTGACAAATAGCTTTTGGTCATCTATAAGAGCCTATGTGTGGCTCTATAAATGCCAGAGGTTCTATAACAGGTCTGACAGTTATAACAACTTTATAAATACCTATAAGCATGTATGGCTCTATATTTGCTCTATACTATAATCTCTCACAGGTTTATGCACCACCATTGTTTGTGTTTTCACAATCACGAGCTGAAATGCGGGCCAATAAGTTTTTAACATTAGATATATGATGTATTCTATGTGTAGATAATGTGTACGGAAACTTTTTTATGAAAAAAAAAAAGACAAACATCTGTTATAACTACATTGATGCTTGAATGTATGGTTCTGAGCCAAGGAACAATAACCAGACATGGCAAACAATCAAAATGCACTTCAAAATTCTACAAAATGTAGATAGGTCATTTATAAGTGAATAGAAAAAAAACTGAGCTTACATTTGGGGGGATTTCAAGCTGTAGATGAGCATCATGCTTGTGCATGACAGAGGCATAATCTAGAGTATTGGTTAGCAATGATCTGAATACCAACATACCACATGTTGGCAATGAATGCAATGAACTTATGCTGACATTGAACTTGACAAGTTTGCTGTTGTCCCAGTGGATGTCAAAGGCAAAACAAAAACAAAGTTGCGCTGACAAGGAGCAACAGATCAATAATGCCTGTCATGATCTTCACAATAATGCAACAACTTCAAAGCTCAGTTTCACTGCAATTGCTAGAAAACATGGAGTTGCCACTAGTACACTTTGGGATCAATTTTATGGGACTCACCAGGCTGCAAATCAGGCTCACCATGATCAGCAACTACTTTTTGTGCAACAGAAACGGGTCCGTATTAAATGAGCCGAACAACTTGATGCTGAAGAGAACCCGGAAAGTAAAAAAAACCATTAATCAGAAAGTGTATGCACTCACCAAGTGTTCCCCCTCCAAAAACTGGATTTACCACTTCCTTGAGCATCATCCTGAGATCAAACTTGGTCGGCCATCAGGACTTGATCCAAAACGAGCTAAATTCTTCAACCAGACTGCTGTAAAAAAGCATTTTGAGTTGGTTGATCAGATCATGATAGAATATAACATACCTTGGGAAAATGTCTATAATATGGATGAGAAAGGGTGCCAGCAAGGAGGGGGACGAGGCCAGAGTCGGATAAAATATCTTATTTCTTGCAGGGCCAAAAATCACTACAAATTTCATAGTGACAATCTGGAATTAGTAACTGTCATTGAATGTATTTGTGCGGATGGAACAAACTTACAGCCTGGCTTTGTATTCTCTGGCAAACAGTTTTCTCTGGAATGGTTTCAAGTGGACTCAAGGATTTGGTAAGGGATTTTCCATCTGAAAGCTTGTGCTGAATAAATGTAGTGTGTCAATATCTCCAAATGGATGGACAGATGACTTCCTTGGTGCTCAGTGGTTCCGACAGTCATTTATTCCTCAAGCAACAGCCCAAAACCAGTCAGGAAAACCAATTCTGTTAACTTTTGGTGGACACAGCTCACATGCTGTTGACGAGATCTGTCAGCTTGCTTTGGACAATAGCATTCATTTATATTGCTTACCAGCACATACCACTCATAAACTACAGCCTCTTGATGTTGGTACTTTTGGCCCTTTTCAGCACAAGTGGAAAGTATGGTGTGACACAGTGGTTAATGAAACAAGGGAGGAAACACCACGGGAAGATTTTTTGAGAGTGTATATGTGACAAAACCGGATAAATCCGGTCTCTGCTAAAGCAGCCATTGTCCTCCATGGAGTCACTATTGTTCTCCTAGGAGTCATTATACTGTAGCAAGTAGCACCTCTGACTATAAGTAGTAGGGGGTTTAGTATAGGAGTACCTCAGTCATTTCTATAGCCTCTCGGGCAGTGGCTGAGGTATGTTACATTACATTTATTAGAAACCACCTTAAACTAACATCTATTGTAGTTCCACTTAGATTTATTAATATGGAGGTTCATGATGAAGTATTCACCCCTGATCTCATTCAGAAAGCCTGGACACGTAGCGGGCTTAATCCCATAAATCCCAATGTCTTCACTGATCACAACTATGCACCAAGTAATGCTACTTCAACTATTGCTCGCTTGCCACCCTCATTTCCTACTTCAGCTGGCCTGCAACCCTTCATGGCTGAAAGTGGCAGCAGTTCTGGCTCTGAAAGTGATAACAGCAGTTATTAGCCCTTTGAAGAAGACAGAGACTCACCTGCAGAGGATTCAGATGACGGCAAACAGGAGAGAGAGCGGTGGGAAGATAATGTGAACAATAATGATGTGGCATCAATCATACACTCACCTATTAATAGCCATGCAATCACAACTCCCTTTTTTAGTGTCTCTCCTCACGTCTCTCCTTGCCACTCAGTTGCCACTGCTTGTTCATGCATGTTTACACCTGCTCCTCATTCATCACAGCCTACACTCATCCCCCTCACACACCTGCGCACTCGCTCATCTGCATCAATATCCACACTGCGTTCTGCTGAAATCCCCTTCAAGCCTTCAGCAACGCTGCAGCACAAGCTGGATGCTGCCCTTGAGGAGAATTGCCGGCTATGAGAGCAGAATCAACACATCAGTGCTAATCTTGAGGCAGCAGAAGCTCACTGTGTCTTGGCAGGGCATCAAATTGCCAAGTTGCAGCGGCAGGTGGGTAAGAAGAGGAAGAGAAAAAAGAGACTACATACCAGTGAAGCACGGTGCTTAACCTCTACCCAATGGTTAGAGCTGTGGGGTAAGGAAAAGGCAAAAAGAGAAGGAGTGTCAGAAAGATGAGGCACAGCAGCATAAGGTAGCGCGTGACACAGCTGCACGATGGGCTGCACGTGGTCCTAATGCTGTGTTTACTGGACCTATCAACTCCAAGCTTAAACCGGACCTCTTGGAGATTGCCCTTTCCCTCTCCCTCCAGCTTCCTCCACGAGCAACTGTGCCTGACATCAAGCTTCTCCTTAAGTCCCACTTCAACTCCCATCCCCAGTTGAAGGCTGAAGCAAAATTCACTGGCCTTTTTCATATGTTTAACCAATGTGGACAGGACCCCCCCCCCCCCTTGGGCCCCCTCCCTCATACACTCCCTTTGCACCCTCTCCTCTCTAACCTCCCCCTCTCTTGCACCCCTCTTGCATGCCCCCCTCTTGCTTCCCTCTCCCACACACCCCACACATGCACACTGCTCTGTCATCTCTTCTGGGTCCTTAATGCACTGCCACTTGCTATCAAACAGATTGACCACTTACTTAGACAATTAGGTACAATTGTTTATTATATGCCTTGTTTAATTCCTTTTTTCTTAGCTATTATTCTACTTAATACACACTTGCGTGGATCAAACTCAAGGTTGTGTGATCCAACTCTCAAGGTCTTAATGTTGGCCAATAATGAGCTTGAGCGGAATACTTCTGCACATAGCGGCACACTTGGCATCTTGTGACCTCTGTGACATTCTTGCGGAAAATTGCACAAACACTCATAGAATGGCAGGCATCATCACGGTTGAATTATTCTAACAGGCTGCACATTCCTACTCCCACAGTAAGTTCACCATTCTCAAGCCAGGACCCTTACCTACGATGACATAGAGGAGCTAGAGGAGCAAAAAGATGTTTTCTGACAAAAGATTGCCAAAACACGACAGCTCATCATCAACTCTGTATCAGACTTTATGTTAAATGGACTGAAAGCCACCTCAAAAACGACAGAACCACACATTATGTGGCAAGAACTCTGCAAACTACATAAAGGAAAAGGTGATATGATACAACTCGATATGTGGAGAAAGATAATGAGGTTGGAAACGTCAGAGAGCACAGACATAACTAAACACATCAATGAGATGCTCAAGCTCAGATCGGACCTTTCTAGCATGATTATGTCATCATTGCCTGACAGCTACCACCCCATGCTTTTGGCCATTATGGCTAGCTCACAATAATTGAAAACAACCCTCAATCCAGAGGACATAATAGTACATATCCTCAAGGAAGCAGATCATCGAGCATCACGCACCGGATATCAAGACCCGGGATCAGCCCTCACCGCTAAAGCCAAAGAAAAGAAAAGCCAAAGAATGAGCAAAAGCACCCCGTATAGGCGCAATGCAGAATGCTACAAATGCGGAAAGAGAGGCCACTATGCCAGCAAACATAGAGACCATAATGATACCTCTGATAAACCAAATCATTGGGAGGAGAAGGGAAAAATACATGCCAAAGTGGCTAAAGTAGACGAGTCATCTAAACCATTCCCCGCCGCATCATATACCCGAGCCAAATCATATGGTGAACACATTCACTCAGATCTCTGGGGACCAGTACAGGACATGAAAGAAAAGAAATACATGATCACCTAATGACTTCTCTCGAGAAGTACATGTCCGGTTTATCTCCAGTAAGGATAAAACACTATCCAATTACATCTTTTTTTCAAAATGTGGTTGAAAACGCAGAAAGACGGTGCCAAGATCAAAATACTACGTTCAGACCGAGCAGGCGAATATACCAGTAACAGGTTTGATAAGCACTTAAAACAACAGGGAACAATGCAAAAACTTACTGTTCATGACTCCACACAACAAAATGGAGTCTCTGAACGACTAAACCGCATGCTGATAGAACATGCAAGAGCAATGCTTATATCACCTTGTCTCCCCAAGTACCTGTGGACAGAAGCTATAAAACACCTTGTCTGGCTTAAAATTTGATCCCCAACTCATGCCCTCAACGGTAAAACCCCATATAAGATGTTGAGAGGATCAAAACCCAACCTCACAGACCTACAAGAATTTGGCTGTGAAGGATATATTAAAGATCTATCAGCCGGGAAACTTGACTCACAAGCCCACAAAGCGAATTTTATGGGTAACAATGTTCAGAGCAAAGGATACCGCATGTATTGGCCTGAAAAATGAACAATCAGTATAGAACGGAACATAAATTTTCCACCACCAACTCGGCCACTTACCTATACCACCAAAATATCCAACAACATCCAAACCATCAAATCCCCATCCACCAAATCCCCAACCACAGAAGCCTCTACCTTGACATCACTGAACCTATATACAAAAACGGCACATATCAGCGAAAAAACTGAGTCACAAGAAACAGACCACTCACCTGAAAAGAACATAAGGCCAATTCAAACAACAGGAGCTAAACCACAAGGCTATTATAAAGCCTTAAACAATGGGAAACCCATAGCTAAAGCAGGCAATACATCAGATGATGAATATGGTGACAACCATCACGCTTACCTCACTGTCTATGCAGCCGGTGTCGATGATGAGAACTGCTGTTAGAAAACCACACACAAAAACAAACTAACACACAATCCTCCCAGATTCCACGGAACTTGTTTATGGGCTTTGCCTCCTAGAACAGTGGGTGCTCTGGTTGTTCGTGGGGTGGTATGTATGAAGATCCTTCAAAGTAAAACCAAGAGATGTATGGGTGTGGGTTTTTGAGGAGGAGGGATAGTTGGAATATAGAAAGATAGGGGCTTTGTGGCGAGTATAGACAAGCACTACCTTGCTAATGGTAGCGCAAGGTAGGTTTGAGAATGACAAGATGACAGGGTGACGGGGTTCCCAGTGATAGCAGGCTCCTGACGCACAGACTGTAGTGTCCAGAAGGACTCTAATCGAAAGGGATAATAATGACTTTGGAAGTGACGAGTGACAATGACAGCAGTTAACAGTAGTAGCAGTGGGAAGTGTTGTGACCACACTGGATCACAAGTAGTAGTGAGTAGTGAACCTGAGATTAGAGAAGAAGTCTGGATTTGAGTTCTTGTCTTTTTTTTACAAGGTAAAATACAGGGGTTTATATAGTAAAAGAAAAGTAGGCTATGCACGGTATAGCTGTGCAAAAAGAATGAGAAAGAACATGAAGGAAGGAATGTACACTGACAAATCCTGTGTAGGTAGTACAGGATAAGATTGTCAAAAAAAGGAAAAGAAAGGGATAGAACAATGAATGCTGTGTAAGTAATGTTACAGGTTTGTACAGCCATAAAGTAAAGTCCAATAGCAAAAAGAGAGCAGGAAAATCATGATGTCATGGGAAGATGCAGTAAAAAAAGGGCAAGGCAAAACACTATCAGTATCAACACAGTTCCTTTATTGTCAGTCAGGCATTCTAAAAAAATATGTGTCCATAAAAATGATTCAAAAATCAAAAATAATTGCACTATAAATAAATGTTCTGCTGAAGAAAAATAAACTGGAGCCACCAGTCCACCACCTAGTCCAAATCCGACAGTTCCATGGCCTTACCAATGGACTGGTTGTGTTGGACCACCTGGTCAAACGAGGGAGGGAGAGGAGTAGTCCCAATTTGGAACAAGTGAGTCCCAGGCAGCGTGTGGTAGGTGTAGCTGTAGCAAAGACGATGGACAAAAGATAAGTGTACCCAAGTGAATGGGACGGCAATGAACATGGGCGACGCAAGGGGATGGACCTTCTCCAGCTCAAAAACTACCCACCCACGCTCCAACCAAACAAGACGAGCGACCGAGGTTTTGATAGTATATGATGGTAGATCGACGTCATAAAGATGGACCTGTTGCCCTATTTGAACTGGCCGCCGGGGCTTTGCTGATATCAGCAGTGGCACGTGGTAGTCGACGGATTGGTGATGGAAGCGGATAGGAAGTGGTGACATCAGAAATGGTGGGGGTGCAAATAAGATGAGGAGGAGGAGGGTGGAGGTGATGAAAAAGTGGATTAGAATGGGGATCCAGAAACGACCATCAGGTGAGAATAAAAATGAGAGTAAGGGACCCATGGTGGGGCTAGGCAAAGGAAGGGAAGTGAAGGAAACGACAAAGGTGAGGGCGCAATGCAATGTGTAGCCAGTGGCGACACAAAAATTTGCCGAAATGCCGAAATGCAGAAAGTACCGAATGGAAAAGCAAAGGTGAGCGTGACTGGATTGCCTAATAGAGGTGATGCTGATCAGCCACAAGTTCGAAAAAGGCAATATTAATTACTATTCCACGTGGTACTGTGCCTGTGTGGCGCAAAGGCGAGTCTTTTTGAATATTCGCTTCGTTATTGACACCTGTCCATGCTACCAATCAACTTTGGTGCATGACACCGGTGCATCAAGCACCAATAGTCCACCTATCAGAGCGGCTCTTGAGGGGGGATAGAGAGAATTGGTGCATAGCCATAGAGGATGAAATGAAGCAACTCCATAAACTCCAAACATGGGAACTTGCCACTCCACCCTCAGGATCAAACATAATTGGAAGCCACTTTGTCACTAAGATAAAATGTGACAAAAAAGGGCAGATCCTGAAATACAAAGTAAGACTTGTAGCTGACAGCCATCGCCAAAAGTACGGCATTGATTA